TCTCACAAGTTGAATCTCTGGAGCTTTCTGCATAACTTGCAGACAACTTAGCTTATCAGAGTCTCTTTCTGGCAGTTGTTACCTTAAAGAAGGGCCTTGTGAATCTTGTAAGTTTCAGCAACTTCCTAAGACTTGTGATTTTTACCTCCTTTTGTTTTTCCTTGATTTTTCTGAGTCTTAATGAGTTTCCCCTCTCTCTCTCGGATACACTTTGTCGGGGGGGGGGGGGAGGGGTTGGGGGGAGCGGGGATAACTACATAACAGTGTCTCTTTTTTTTTTTTTTTTTTTTTTTTTTTTTTTGGTTTTTCGAGACAGGGTTTCTCTGTGTAGCTTTGTGCCTTTCCTGGAACTCACTTGGTAGCCCAGGCTGGCCTCGAATTCACAGAGATCCGCCTGGCTCTGCCTCCCGAGTGCTGGGATTAAAGGCGTGCGCCACCACCGCCCGGCTTTTTTTTTTTTTTTTTTTTTTTAAAGATTTATTTATTTATTATGTATACAGTGTTCTGTCTGCATGTATGCCTGCAGGTCAGAGGAGGGCATCGGATCTCATTATAGATGGTTGTGAGCCACCATGTGGTTGCTGGGAATTGAACTCAGGACCTCTGGAAGAACAGCCAGTGCTCTTAACCCCTGAGCCATCTCTCCAGCCCATAACAGTGTCTCTTAAAAGCCATACTGCCTCTCAACATTGTTACATTGAGGACTGAGCTTTTAGTGTGTGAACTTTTGGGGGATACTAGTAAGGATGGAGAAAGTGCTTTGAATGAGGAAAAAATGGGTCAGTTTCTTCCAGGGACATTTTCTATTGAGAATCAAATCAAACCCTTTGCTTGGCAGCTATTAGCAGTTGATGGCTTCTGGAGAACAGAGAGTCAGTTTCTTTATTAATATGATCCCTGAGAGCTAGACCACACTCCAATGGATATCTCCACACTCACGAGTTAGGGGCAGCACTGGTTGGAATCAGTGGACTATTACAAAAAAGAGCACACGAAGTTGGGATGGAGAGTTTAGGGGTAAATCTTGAAGTCAGGTGGAGGAGGTCAAATATCATCAAAGTACTTTGTATGAATGTATGAAATTGTCAAAAATAGTGAAAAATTTTATTTTTAAAATGAACAACAACAGTAAAATCAGATCAGACTATTAACCATTTAGACATCTTTCCACAAGATGCTGGCAATATGAACACACTTATGGCCCAGTTGTAGATGCTGACTACTAGAAAGGGCCCATGAACAAACGACCAGCAGTTCTACTTTTGACTTCTTAGCTGGTTCAAGAAGTGTGTCACTGTCGGTCCCAGCAGAGCAGTTCCTGTCATGAGCACTCAACAGGCCACATACAAAGGCCATGGCGCCAGCACACACATCTGCTGATCGAAGGCTGTGGTTATTAGCTTCTTGACGGGAGTTCAGCCCTGTTCCAGTCAGCAAGCTTTTATACAGAATGTCAGTATGCATCACAGAGGTCCTGGGCCAGCTCGCTCTTCAGATAGTTGGAATTCAATTTAAGAGTCATTTGAAGTGAACTACTGTAACAGTGACATATTTTTAGTTCCCTGGAACCTTGGTTCTCTGAAATAAGAAATTGGAAGTAGCATAATCAATATGCTTAAATGGCAGGGAACAACAATGATCAATTGTTGGCACTAGGCATCTGGTATTCTCTGAAATGAAGAGACTTGCCCCGTCTGCCAGTACTGGCAGTCTCAGATGAGGACAGAAAAAGAGAAAATGTCCTTTATCTTCCTGGGGAGAGTTTCATAGATGGCAGCTGTCTTAGTTAGGGTTTTTATTGCTGTGAAGAGACACCATGACCACAGCAACTTTTATAAAGGAAAACCTTTAATTGGGTGGCTTACAGTTCAGAGGTTCAGTCCATTATCCTGGTGGGACATGGCAGCATGCAGGCAGACATAGTACTGGAGAAGGAGCTGAGAGTTCTACATCTTTGGTCTCAGGCAACAGGAAGTAAACTGAGTGTCACATTGAGCTTGAGCAAAGGAGACCTCAAAACCCATCCCCACAGTGACACTTTTCCTCCACAAGGCCACACCTACCCCAACAAAGCCATACCTCCTAATAGTACCACTCCCTATGAGCTTATGGGGGCCAATTACATTCAAACCACCACAGCAGCTAAGGGTAGCTTGAGGGTAACTGTTTTCTAAGCTGTTGAAAATCAATCTATATTCATTATTTTCTTAAACTATATCATTCTACCACTATCTGTTTATGAAATCACAAGGGAGCCAAAAGCAAATCACTGTATAAAGTGTCAGCTACTGATGGATGCTTTGAATAAAAATGGTGTCAGGGAAGACAAGAGACGGATGGCCGTGGGGGTGGGTGCTACTTTAGGAGGACTAACCTGCCTTCCTAGCCAGCCTTCAGTGTGCCATGCCACTCTCATTTTGAGGACTTCTGGCTAGAGAGCTTTCCTTCAGCTCTCTGCCTTGGCAGGTCCTGACCAGGGTCCTGACCACCTCTTGAGTAGGCCCTTCCTCCAGCCTCCCTTCACCCTCCTCTGCGAGTGTTCTTTACCACATGACTGGGGATGAAAGAGTCAGTGAAAGCCATTGATAAATCTTCTGCCATCCAACCTTGTCACACTCGGTGTCCGACCTTGTCACACTTGGTATCCGACCTTGTCACACTTGATATCCACAGTTCAGACTGGAGAGATTTCTAAGAAACCTCTTCCTATCTGATCTAAATTCCAAATCAGGGACCAAATAATTTTGTGTATAATGAGGGATGCTTATAGTTTTTTTTCCTAACACACGCTGCTTCCTGATTGGCCATCTCTGTTTCTTTCACTAAAATGTTAGTTTCATGACGACTGAGGCCATGTTCTCTAGTCTTCTTCCTGACACACACTGCTTCCCGATTGGCCCATCTCCATATTTCTTCCGGACACACACTGCTTCCCGTTTGGTCCATCTCCATGTTTCTTCCTAACACATGGTACATCTCCATGTTTCTTCCTAACACACACTGCTTCCTGATTGGTCCATCTCCATGTTTCTTCTTGACACACACTGCTTCCTGATTGGTCCATCTCTAGTTTTCTTCCTGACACACACTGCTTCCTGATTGGCCTATCTGCATGTTTCTTTTCCTAAATGTTAGTTCCATGATGACTGAGACTTGGTTCTATTCATTGCTTTATCTTAATCACCTAGAACAATGCCGAATACCTAACAGATTCTAATAACTGTGTTGAAAAGATGTGTTACCATGTGCTGTATGAATAAACACGTTTAACTAAATCATTCGTGCTTTAAAAAGCGGTATAGACCATCATGCTGCACTTTTTGTGAGACAGTGTAGAATTATTTATACCGTTTCCAGGTTTCCAGATAGCTTAGAAAGTCTCAGCGCCTTGCATTTCTTCAATCTTGAAGGGCAGCAAGCAGCTCCCGTGCTATCCATTTCTTGGTAAGGTGTTTAACTCAGTGTAGGTTTCACAAGAGATGGATCATGAGACGGAAGTAGGACGAGGGTCCTTGCTCACTTCAGTTTCTGAAAGTCGGTAGGTTCTTTCGTATCACAGTTTACCGCCTTCTTTATGTAGAACTGGAAATACTATATCTATTTGATGGCTACCTGTTAATATCTAATGTTGCAAATTCTATAAGCATTTAATTATTAGTTATTAAGTAGGTGCCCAATATGAGTACTTTAACTCTCACTGGATAAGGACAAAAGTGATTTGGTGACATGCACAGTGGCCACACTGTCTAGTCTAATGGACTTGGGCAGTTCTCCCCAAGGAAGTGAATTTTGAGCTGAGGTGGAGTCAGTGAAAAAGACCAGGCAGTTTGGGAAGCGGCCGCTCGGGCTTTATTCTAAGAGCAGTAGAAGCAATTAAGGGCTAGCCCAGTAGTTGTGTGTGTGTGTGTGTGTGTGTGTGTGATCTTTGTGTATGTGTACATGCATCTGTGTGTGTACGTGTGTATGCACGTACGTGAGTGTGTGTCTGTGTGTGTGTGTGCATCTGTGTGTGTGTGAGATCTCTATGTGTGTGTGGTGTGTATGTGTGTATGTGCGTGAGTGTGTCTGTGTGTGTGCATCTGTATGTGTGTGTATGTGTGTGTGCGTGTGTGTGTGCGTGTGTGTGTGTGTTGCTAGGGGCACACTGGATTGGCCATGAGGAGACAGGGAGTGGTCCAGAGACTTTAGTAAGAACAGATGAGTATGGCCTTGTTTCTTGAGAATAGCAGAAAGAAGTGGATGTGTTAGAGTTCTAACAGACAGAGTGAGTAACTGGCTGGGGGCAACAAGGGAAGGAGAAGCATTAATTATGAGGTCAGTTTCCTAGTTTAGGTGACTGAGAGGATCCCAGGCCTTTCATAGAGACTAGAGAGGCTGAGAGAAGAACTGGCTGAGGAGAAAGGAGTGCAGACTACTTCTCTATCTAAAGCGAAGTTGAGTATTACAGACTCGGTTATATGGTGAATTCTTTAAAACTTAGTGCTTATAAAGAAAGAATCAATGGGGACTGGGAAATTAGTCATATTAAAATTAAATAATTTTCCTGTTATTAGGTTTTTGTTTTCATTATTAGTTTATTTTTATGAAAGAAAAGTAACAAAAAAATTATTCATGTAAGAAATGCTGTACTAAAACAAACAAATAAATATGAAGCTAAACCTCTATGAGTCAAAAAGCTAAGACCTTCTTAGACAAAATGTAAGTTCTATCCAGTGAAAATAAATGATTTATCCTGACTAGAAGACCGTAGTGAAAGAGACCGTTAATGTGTATGTATAGGGCCCGTTACCTGGAATCTCAAGCTTACCCTTCAAGGCAGGTCCAGTAGGTGGTGTCTACCATCTACCCACCCACGTGTCCTTAACCCACAGCACAGCACTGGGGACTAGAGGGGACTCGGGGGATAGCTATTGTTTCAGGTATGTTGTTTGTATGTTAAATTTGTTTACATCAACATTCACAGAAATTGTTATTTAATGACGTTATTTGTATCATTTTAGGTCGATTGGGGTCAACTGGACTATTTGGTTGTTGACATGCCACCAGGAACAGGAGACGTGCAGTTATCAGTTTCACAGAATATTCCTATTTCAGGTAAATCCTAAAAGTTTGATTTTTTTCTTTCTTTGATATATTGCTGTTACTATACATAAAGATAAACCATGTTGTAGACAAACTTTCTGTCTTAAAATTATTTATAAATTGGAAATTAGAGATCAGAATTATGTATTAAACTTTTGATGATAAGTATGTATATTTATAAAAACAGAAGGTACTTTTAAAGGTAATAACATAAATCTGTATTCTAGAAAAGCTTTAGTACGTAAATATATTTAGGTAGCTCATGGCTATTCAGTAATGCTGAGTGTTGTCCAACTCTTAACAGCAAAGTGCTAACAAACACCCAGAAAATATTAGTTAATGAAACTGAGTAGGAGTAAATCATAGGAAAATTGGCTTTTTGGCAAATATAGTTTTGGGAAATTTTTATATTCTGCTCTCTATTTCCTATGTTTTAAAGTCAAGAGAATAATATAATAGCTTATTTGGTCAAATGTATAAGCCATAGCAGTGGGTATCTCTGTCTGACACAGAATGTAAAAATTGGTAGTTACTCTCTATTTTGAATCTATGTCTAAAACTTTCTCTGGAACAGTTGCAAATGTCTGCACATGTTGGGCTTCTAGGAAGACAGTGGAAATTTAAAATATCCTTGCAAATACATTTTTACTGGTTATTTCAGGTTTGCCATTGACATTTAATTATCAAAAGGCTTAAATCTACATTTTTTTGGCAAGCTATAAATGTTTTTGTTACTTGTAGGAGAACCTCATTAATATGGGTGTTAAACATTGTAGTGTATTTGTTGTCTTGATGGAGTATTCTGGTAAGGCAGGCTATAAAGGATGAAACTGGTAAAAGGGACAAATAGTTTATCCTGTAGATGATGGCTCTACGATATAGCATGCCTTTCCCTTTTCAAAGTGGAAGAGTTAACTGACTTCTTCGAGGTCCCGCATTTACAATGTGTTGTAGCTGAAGTTCTCATTGGTTCTGGTTGAGTTTAAAGCTTGTGTGGTTGGAACCTCTGCATCAAGGTCCCTGGTAACATCTGAGTCACGGTTTGCTGAGTTCAGCCTCAGCTCATCCAACTCATGTAAGCTGAAGTGAAGCTACTGTCAATGATTCCGTGATAATTTACATTCACAGTGAATGTGTCAAACCTGTGCGCCCACTAAGTGACTGTCTAGCCAGTGGTCTGCACTGGGGTGTATGGTAAGGAATCATGTTTTCAACCCCGAGAAACTGCTCTGGGCCTCCTTAACTCGCCCATTCCAGGAAAGCCTGAAGGTAATTGAGAAGCAGCTCCGTTGGTTTTCAGTAGAGTTCCAGGTGACTCTCGGAAGGAGTCACCCTTCTGCCTTTGTGCTGACCTATGCTAGTCTTGATCACTGTGTCCACCGCAGCCCACTGTAGAGTCAGAGCAGGTGGAATTACTGCGCATGTGCTATGCTTGCCAGTATTGACACGGATAGTGGAAAGCCTCTGTTTTCTCTAGTGAGCATACGTGGATCTTCTCATTCAAGAGAGGGATGCAAGCCGGGCGGTGGTGGCGCACGCCTTTAATCCCAGCACTTGGGAGGCAGAGCCAGGCGGATCTCTGTGAGTTCGAGGCCAGCCTGGACTACCAAGTGAGTTCCAGGAAAGGCGCAAAGCTACACAGAGAAACCCTGTCCCGAAAAACCAAAAAAAAAAAAAAAAAAAAAAAAAAGAGAGGGATGCAGCTGGTGGAACTTGTAATTTGCATATGTGAGATCTTGGGTTCAGTCCTCAAAGCAGGGGCTAGGGGTATCAAACGATTAAAATGCCCTGCCAAAAGGATGCCCAAGAGAGTTTGGGGGTACATGTGATCATTTCTCTATGGGTTTGTTAAAATGTTTGGTCAAGGCTTGGTTCTTGAGGTCTGGTTTACTTGGGCCAATGTTATTTCATAGCGAGCTTATCTAAGAGAACACCAGAAGTGGGTTGGCCCCAGGATTAATTTCTTGGCTGCACCAGGACTGGCATCAGTTTGTATTATCTGGACCAGCGTGTCCCAGTCATGTCTGCCCTTCAGTTTATCAGTTGTCCTTCAAAATTATCTGTTCTCTATAAACCTCCCTTCCTTCCCTCTTTATCACTGATGTTAAAACTCCTTTAGGACAGTCTGTTCTACTTTTTCTTCTGTTCTGTATTCCTCTCAGCCCCCAAAACCCTGTAGACTGTGTCACCCTGTGATTGGGCTTTCTGTAAATCCCTTCCCATAAGGCGAGATCCCACCCAACTCCTGGTACCAGCTGCCCCCGTCCTCACAGCTCCTCACGTTCTTCCCTTGTCTTGCTGATTCTGTGTCACTACACACATTTAGTCTCATTCCCAGTGTCTTCCATTGCAGTCAGTTGCATGCTCAAGTCCTGCATAACCTTTCAAAGCCATGTGTTCTAATGCCCAGTCCCTGCCTTGTCCCCAACTCTCCCCAGATAAGATCCATTGATCCCTCTTTGAAATTCACATAGCATTTTATTTGGCCCACTCCTCAGCACTCAGATTTTCTTCATCTGAAGCCTGCACACCTGTGCTGCACAAGTCTCCTGGATTTCATTCACCTTTGCATTTCCCATAGAGCCAAACTCATTGTCTTCCTGCAAATGGACATCAGTGAATGGATGTTCTATCACTGTATGTATTATCTTTCCAGCTAGGCTGTCAGCAGCTTGACTGCAACCTTCTTTTCCTGTTCCTCCGTGTGTCTCTTAGATTATTGGGCAGTGGCATGTGCAGTTACCATTGACAGTGCTAGGCTGACCAGTTAGCACTGTCCATGTGAGAAGATCGTTGTCTCTACCTTTCCTGCCGTTCTGCTCGTTCCTGGGATTCCCTGCCCCCCACACCCTGCTGTTTTCACACAAGTGCTTTTTCTATGTATAAGTTAAACAAGACATTCCTTTAAAGCTATAGAGAAAAGTCCTTGCAGCCTAGGTTTTTATTTTGCTGTAAATGACATCCTGTGGACAGTTGATACTGTTTACTGTCCCCTTTCTTGTTACACTGGGGTGGGGGAGGGCATGTCCTTTGGTTACTCACAGGCTCCATGCTAAGTGGCAGTGAGAATCACTAGCATTGTTCCATTCTCAGGAAAGAAGTTCCCCTTCCGCCGCTTTGCTGATTTCTGTTACCTAAGGGGCCCGCCCATCCCACAATTTATAAGGCTCGGGTGAGATATATAAAAGCTCTTATCTAAATGCATAGTACCTTTTTGAAACCGTGTAAATTCTTTAAAGCAGGTATTTGCTGAGGGGGATGTGGTCCGATCAAATGTTCCCCACAAAGACTCCTGTGCTAAAGGCTTGGTCCCAGCCAGTGGCTTTGTTGAGAGATGGCTGGGTCATGAGGGTGCTGGTGTCATCAGGGGCTAGGATAACCCACCTTGCCCTTCATCCCTCTCTGCTTCTTGGTCACTCTGAGACATGAAGTTTGGTTGCCCTCTTCCCACCATGTTGCTGTGCCTTACAGTGGTGCAGAACCAGCCAGATCCAGTGACCATGGACATAAACCTTTGACCATGAACTAAAATAAATCCTTTTAGTTGTTTTTTCTCAACAATTTTGCCACGGTGGCAGAAAGTGGACTGATACAGGGCATTACTGAAATGTTGTGAACTAGAGTCTATATCAAGTTCACATTGCTCCCAGCCATGTTGGCAACAAAATAAATGTTTTATACTTGGAAAGAGGCATTATTTTGGGAATTCATAGCAGACCTGTACAAGCAAAAAGATCCTTTTTCTAACTGCTGATTAGCAACTCTTTGTATGTGTTCCATTTTGTTCTGTGAGTAGATGACGAGCTCAATGTAAGAAGAAATTTCCAAAGAACAGTTATTCTCCTGTTTGTGTTAATGTGTTGTACGGCTGCAGAGAGGGCTGTGTTGACGGCCCATCAGTGAGGAAGCGTGTAGATCCGAGCTTCCATGGAGTCTAAATCATTCCGTGCTTCCATGGAGTCTAAATCATTCCATACTGGGAGTGCAGACCAGAGGCGCCTCGATGTAAATTGCAGGAAAGAAGAGAGGTGGGAGAAAGGATGGGGACTGAGGTCACGGCTTTAGAGTTGCTCCTGTCTTACTGAACTTTCCAAGAGATGGCGTTCATGCCAACTCCACTGTGTTTCTCACCTTGTTAGAGATGATGCCGCTTACTGGCCTTTGTTTGGTAGTTTATTTTGTAAAGTATTTGTTGCTCTATCTTGGGTTAGCCTGACTCCAGAGTTGAATTCTCTTTTGTTCCCCAAATGTGTGCTGATGTTCTCTAGGAGTTATTGATCATGTGTTATTTTCCATAGTGGAAGAGAACTAATATTTCTCTGAGAGGCATTGTAATTTTCTTAAAGATTTTGAAAACATACACTATTTCAAACTGTTCTAGTTTTCAAATTCTTGTAGATTTTTCTTTTACTCTTGGCATCAACTGAAGTCTTCTGAAGACTGTCCTAGCTTTATTTTAACTCTTAGAATTAAGCAGAGTTTATGCTTCATAGTAAGTATGTGAAACATGTCTTCTTTTTCCAAAGAGTCTTAGTAGCTCAAAGTACTGTATTAGCAGACAGTGCATCTTAATTTAATGGAGAGTCTAGGAACAGGGATGTAGGCAGCAGCGTTAGTAACACTAGAAGATGGTGATGCGCCCAGGGACTCATGGCAGGAGCTCTTCCTGCTCCTCCACCTGAGAAGACAAGGGAATGAATGGTGTTCGATCCTGTAGTCTTGGAACCTTTGAAGGAGATGCTTAATGGAAGCTATAGCCACTCCCACTGCAGGGTAGGAAGGAAGTCTGTGAGGTAATACCACACCATCTCTCCTCCCACAGAGTCATCTCCTGCTGGTCCCTGCTACTGACAGACACCCTTTGTGAGCCAGGAGCAAGGAAGCTCAGGGGAGACAGTCCACAGAGGTCAGTTCCCCAGGCCATGATCATGACAGTAATGGATGGAGAAGGGCTCTGGGCAGACTGATGGGGGAGGAGTTGGCAAGGCACTCAGACTAACTGACATGCCTCT